TGTGCCCTCAGAGCTCATAGCCTCAAAGAAGGGACAGGTAGGAAGACAAAGGCAAGAGCACATTTTCTTTTTTTTTTTTTTTTTTGAGACGGATCCAGCAACCACCAACTCCTGGGGTCAAGCGAGTCTCCTGCCTCCGCCTCCCAAGTAGCTGGGACCACAGGCGCCCGCCCCAATGCCCGGCTATTTTTTTGGTTGCAGCCGTCATTATTGTTTGGCGGGTCCGGGCTGGATTCGAACCCGCCACCTTAGGTGTATGTGGCTGGCGCCTTAGCTACTTGAGCCACAGGCGCCGAGCCTCAAAGGAAATATTCACTGGCACATTTTGGCTTTCCAGTTTTCAGTTTAGGGATGCTCAACCTATATTTACTTGTTTAACAAAGTCTTTGTAAGACCTAATTTATGTTTTACAAAAGGCAACATCTTTCTTTCTTTCAGTTTTGGGATAAGCAGGAACAGGTGACTTCAGGGACTTTTGACCTAGTTTGCCTGTAAATTGCCCTCGCAAAAGTGAGAATCATTGTTAAAATGTTTAAACTGGCCTCTCAGACCTTCTAAAGTAAGTCTTAATTTTTCATGGCAGGAACCTTCAGCCTGTGGTGTCATCCCAAGTTTGAGGATCGCTGTCAATCGGTTGTAGAGTTTATTAAAAGAGCCATTATGCATTCTAAGAATGGGAAGTTTCTCTATTTCTTAAGATCCAGAGTTCCAGGTAAGGCTGCAGTTACATTAATTATTAAACTTAGGTATGATCCAGTGTAGCATAAAAATGTACCCCTGTCAAAAGGCCACACTCATATAAAGCTTTTTTCCCTGGCTGTTGTAGCAACTACTCTTAAAGAATCCAATGGTTAATCCCCTGCCTTTGTGCATTAATCTCTTAACATACTGAGAGGGAATCTTTGCTTCTCTGGCCATATGAATGAAAAAACTGCTTCTACCTCTAGTGTCCAGGCATTGTGTGAACATTTGACATTCAGAGGCTTATCCTTCTCCTTGATCCAGGCATCTTGACACTTAAACGTGAAATAGGGAGGTAAGAACTCTTAGGTTATTTCCACAGGAACATGGAAGGTAAGAGTGTTAAGCTCAAAGGCAGTGGTGACGGTCAAGGTGCCTGAATTCATTTGCACTATGTTAGAAGCATCTGTGGTGGGTTTTACCCATATTGCATTAAACTTGTCAAAGAGTAAATACTTTTTATTGTATCTTGCCACTCTTAGCATTTTTTTTTTT